TTTAAATGCGAAAGTGTGTGTCGGTAAACATTAATCCGAATGTCTGAATATTAAATTAATGTTACTAGTTGCAGACTATACTTCATTTTGACTTTTTAAATTGTTTTCATTTTATTGCAAAGATGGCAGTAGAAATTGATAAATGCCGTAAGCTGAAAAAAAATTTAGCCGAATTTTTGGCAAATTTCAACCTTGACGGATTTCGAAGCGCCGCCCCTCAAAATGTTCGTCTCGTCATTCTACCTTTTTTCCATTATACCTTCTTTGCCGAAAAAAAGTCGTTCTAATTCTGATCAGTATTTTCCGAGATGTCAGTCATCATCACCATCGTCATCATCCCCATCATCATCACCACCACCATCATCTTCATCATTTTATTCTTCCTCAGGGGTTTTTCCGGCGTTGCTTACAGAGAAAAGCCACCACCCCATCATCATCATCGTCGTCAACATCTGCATCATCATCATCATCATCATCGTCATCATCATCAGCACAAGCAACATCATTAGCATCGTACAGATGTATCAACGGTGGTAAGTGTCAGATGACGGCCGAGAAACGCGGCTTGTGTGGCGCTTGTCGCTACAAGAAGTGCCTTGCAGTCGGTATGTCGAAGGAAGGTACGTTGTCACTGAGGTTAAATATCTTTTGAGAGGGAAAAATTTTTTTATCGTGGAAGTCTTTCTAACTCTAACCTAAGCCCCATGGCAGTCCCCTTCTGAATCTGGCCCCGGTCGTCAATGATGGTGTGACCATGATGGGGCTAACATGATGGGGTTGTCGGTAATTATGATGTTATGGGTGTATTTAACGATCACTTAGATGTGATGATATTACTGAGGAAAATAATGCTCATGATGTCAATTGTTGTTATTATTATTTTTTTTTATTATTTTCATCATCGTCATCATCATCATCATCATCAAATCCTCATCACCCTCATCCTCATCATCCTCATCCTCACCATCATCATCATCATCGTCATCATCATCGTCATCATCATCATCAGCAATAAAGACGGGCAGATACACCCAGCAGAAAAAGTCTAAAGACCTTGAGGAAATTCGGAGAGCTGAAGAACAGAAATTAATTTCATCTTTCTATCTTCAATCATCATCATCCTCATCGTCGTCATCATCATTTTCATCGTCGTCGTCATCATTTTATAATCCCGCTCAGGCGTTTTCAAATTTATTCCCACCATCTTCATCACCATCGTCGTCCCTATTTCCCGCGTCACCATCATCATTATCAACATCGTCTTCGTCGTCGTCACGTGATCACAACAACAACAGCAACAACATCAACAACAACAACAACAAACCAACGGAATTTTTAAGAATGGTGGCTTTGACATTGTCATCAACATACGCTGGCCATCTTAGGGGAGTTGCCGTTAACCCAGAGATAGATGATTTGTCTGTGATGGAGGAGAACTATCTGGTTGGTTGGTTGGTTGGTTGGTTGGTTGGTTGGCTGGTTGGTTGGTTGGTTGGCTGGTTGGCTGGTTGGTTGGTTGGCTGGTTGGTTGGATGATCGGTTGGCTGGTAGGTCGGTTGATTGATTGGGTTGGTCGGTTAT